GTAGTAATGTATAATGCAGAAACTAGAGAAAAATTATTTCACTACATTGACAAATAAAGAACCTTGAACCTTGCATGGCTGTAAGAAATTTATATACAAAAAATATAATATTATTATTATATTATTATTATAACAACTTAATACAATTATTTTCAATATATAGTTCATACTGGCCATTCATATGCTATACATTTCTTTAAAAAACTGTAATAAAATTTTTATTACAAGCCATGCATTCTTTTTGTAAAGATGAAAATTGAAATAATTTAAAATACGATTTAAATAGAATTATTTTGATTTATATATATACAGTGGGTACGGAAAGTATTCAGACCCCCTTAAATTTTTCACTCTTTGTTATATTGCAGCCATTTGCTAAAATCATTTAAGTTAATTTCTTAAATGATTTTAGCAAATGGCTGCAATATAACAAAGAGTGAAAAATTTAAGGGGGTCTGAATACTTTCCGTACCCACTGTATATATAAAATTGTTACCAATCAAGCATTATTATTATTATTATTAATAATAAAATAATTTTTCTTTTTTAATTTACCCACTATTAGCTGGTGTGGCATGAAAGATAATTTTGGACCCAGTTCACATCATTCTTCAGTTACACACACTACATACATCTTAAAAAGACTTTCATGATGTTTGGCCCGACCACCTGACACAGATTTCACAATTATGCGATCACGTCTCCTCCCCCAAACGGCCCTTCATAATTCAGAGGCTCGGTTCATCTCCCCGACGGACCGCGTTCAGTTCAAGCAATCTCGCCTAAATAATTGATGCGGGTTTCATGAGAACGGGCTCTGCCCTCATCACCGCTGGATTGTTAAACTCGTCTGAGTGGGACCGAGTGTCCGGTGTAAGTGGCGAATCAAAGGGGGCGTCTCTTGTGGCAGATGGGGCCTGACGGGCACGTTTTGCTCTCCAAATGGCCCCAGATTGTCCCCATTCATAATTAAGCAGCCGTTAAAGAGCGCTTCATGAATTATGAAAGAGGATCGGTAAGATCTCCCTCCGGCTGAATGGACGGATCTAATGAAGTTCCTCAGGCACAAACCTCAGCTTATTATGTGTTTATTTGCTCATCTTCCTGCTTAACCAGTGCAATCAAACCAGTGCTATGTGTTCCTCAAGTTACATGAAAACCAAACCTCATGCACGTATAATGAAAGTCTATGAGACAAGACACTGCAGGAGGCTTCATTTACTCCTCATACTCGAGCGGATTAATCAAACTCCATCATAAGACGCAAATTAACAAGATTATATAAGATTTTTTGGCTGATTTATAGTTCGCATATCTGAGCATATGATTCTGACATAATATTCTGTCAAGGTTTGATTTGTGTCTTCAACAGAGCGAGACGTGATGGAGCCAACAAATCATTAGCATGATGGCATTTTTCATTAAGAGGTTGATTAATGCAGTGCTTCATTCACATAGCAGTGGTTTTTAATTTACCATTAAAAGTTTACCTGGGATGCCTAAAAAGTTTGTTTTAATACAAATTATTTTATTTAAATATAATTTATTTTAACAATGTAATAATTTAAAATTTACTTATAAAATGGGTTTATTTTTATATAAAAATAATGTTTATATAAAATGTAGTTAAATAATTTAATTAAAAATAATTCATTATTAAAATAATTATTTTAATAAAAATGCAATAACGTGGGATATTCCTACTTTATTTTTCATAAATAATTATTCAATTATTATTAATAAATTATTAGAATGAATAAATGATAATATATAAATTATTAATTATAAATTTTACAAATCATTTAATAATGTAATAAGTTCTAATATTTCTATAGAAAAATAGTGTATATAAATTATTAGATTTAATTATAATTTATTAATGTAAAATGATTAGAATAGAAAAATCATGTCTGTGTGTATATATATTATTTGAATAAAAATTTATTATAATAATGTTTTATTTATCAATAAATTATAAATTTTGTGAATGTGCAGTAAACTACTGGCTGACATGAAATAATCAAAATTAGTGCCCCTCGATGTCTAATGTAAACCTTGATCCTGAAGCAAAACCACATGAGAACTACTGCTATAGAGCAACGAAGTCAAACAAAGTTGGATGGAATGAAGCAGAAGCAGATGGGATGTTCAGATCAATCTCATCTATACGCTTTCCTCTCAGTCAACGCAAAAGCTCAGCACACAGGTGGCCAGAAATATGAAGATGTCAGAGCGATGACAGCACACTATCACAACCTTTCCCTTCATCTCACCGCTTTCATCTCACTTCAGAGTGACGGGCCGACTAGTCTGTCTGGCGCCGACGCTGATGGCTGCCTCCGTGGCGTGCTCCGCAGTTGTTTTTATGTTTTTGTTAGTTTGTCCTGTCTTTAGTTATATCCCTGCAATCAGTTTCACCAGAGACGAATTGCTGGACATTCGGAAGTACACACCACCCGATATTTCACCGGTTTTTGATTATTCTGATGTTTTGCTGGACATTGTTGTCGGGGGAGCTGCGGCGCTGTTCAGACGCTTCAGGACGCGCAGACGGGGAAGAGAGCCGGCGCGCTCGTGAAGCTCAGACAGCGCGATGTTCTATTTTTTATTATCTGTGTTTTTTGTTCTGTCACTGTCATTCTGTTACACTGTGGAAGCTTCTGTCACGAAAACAAATTCCTCGTATGTGTAAACATACCTGGCAATAAAGCTCATTCTGATTCTGATTCTGATTCTGATTCCATATCCCTTTTCTCTGTCTGTCACCTCCTTTCAACCTTTGCTGAGCGCTGGGTTTCTCTAATAACTCAAATCTCATCCCTCATATTCAATATCTCTCAAAAAGAAAGGAAGAAATGGTTTATCCTTAGTTCCTATGTGCTGTCAAACGAGACGGTTTCCGTGAAGCAGCTCTTTCGGAGGGTTAAACTTACATTAGTGGCTCTAATGAGCGTGAGAGACGTGTTCCTGTGGCTGTAAGTGACAGCAGAATGATGAAGCGCTGATGAGTCATTTTTATTAGGCCCAACCGAGAACATGAGAACGGAGCGCACATATCATTTCATTCCAGCCTAACAGCCAATCAGAGCGACCTGAAGAAACCCTGAGGGCTTCCATTAGAGACACACTCATAATGAGCTCAGAATAACTGACTAAAACTACATATTCAGAAGACAAGTGTGGCGTTTGGACAGGCAAAATTCACCACTGTGAAGCTAGGATGTTCTGGGTGGTTGCTAAGGTGCTCTGGGTGGTTGCTAGGGTGTTGTTAGGGTGTTCTGGGTGGTTTCTAGGGTCTTGCATTGCTATGGTGATCTGGATGGTTGCTAGGGCATTGTTAGGATGTTCTGGGTGGTTGCTAAGGTGCTCTGGGTGGTTGCTAGGGTGTTGTTAGGGTGTTCTGGGTGGTTTCTAGGGTCTTGCGTTGCTAGGGTAATCTGGATGGTTGCTAGGGCGTTGCTAGGATGTTCTGGGTGGTTGCTAAGGCGCTCTGGGTGGTTTCTAGGGTGTTGCATTACTAGGGTAATCTGGATGGTTGCTAGGGTGATCTGGATGGTTGCTAGGATGATCTGGGTGGTTTCTAGGGTGTTGCATTGCTAGGGTGATCTGGGTGGTTGCTAGGATGTTCTGGGTGGTTGCTAAGGTGTTCTGGGTGGTTTCTAGGGTGTTGCATTGCTAGGGTAATCTGGATGGTGGCTAGGGCGTTGCTACGATGTTCTGGGTGGTTGCTAAGGCGCTCTGGGTGGTTTCTCGGGTGTTGCATTGCAAGGGTGATCTGGATGGTTGATAGGGCGTTGCTAGGATGTTCTGGGTGGTTGCTAAGGCGCTCTGGGTGGTTTCTAGGGTGTTGCATTGCTAGTGTGATGATCTGGGTGGTTGCTAGGATGTTCTGGGTGGTTGCTACGGTGTTCTGGGTGGTTTCTAGGGTGTTGCATTGCTAGGGTGATCTGGGTGGTTGCTAGAATATTCTGGATGGTTGCCAAGGTGCTCTGGGTGGTGTCTAGTGTGTTGCATTGCTAGGGTTATCTGGATGGTTGCAAGAGTGTTGCTAGGATGTTCTGGGTGGTTGCTAAGGCACTCTGGGTGTTTTTTTTTTTCCGGGCATTGCGTTACTAGGGTGTTCTGGGTGGTTTCTAGGGCGTTGCTATACTGGGGTGTTCTGGGTAGTTTCTAGGGCGTTGCTAGGGTGCTTTAGGGTGGTTCCTTGGGTGTTCTGGGTGGTTGCTATGGTGTTCTGAGTGGTTTCTATGTCTAAGTCAAAATAGTCATATGATTTGAGTTTCTCGCTTATGGTTTGATTTTGGGGTTATGGGATTCTTTAATGTTTTATCGTCCGCTAGGTCAAAATTGTACATCCGACTACTTAGTAACGAGTTACGTTGTAATTCTCAGAGTTAGTGTTTGAACAAACTCCTACCACTAAATATGAGCACTATTAATAGTGAATTATCTAATGAGAAGTACATGCGGACACACAGAGCTCTGTAAGGATATGAGTGAGGTCCATGTCGTGCTGCTCTATGGCGGTCTGAAGCTGCTCTTCCAGGTAATGCAGTCGCTCACTGATGAGTTCACAGCGCTCCGTCAGCTCTGTCGTCTCTCCACACAGATCCTGAGACACAAACACACCCATTAAACCCTGCTGCTCACACACATCTCTAGCTGCTCAAGTGTGGTGCTAATATGCTGATAAAGGTTGTTAGTGCACATACGGCACCAAAATGTGTGCATTTTCATCTGGAAGATGTCATTTTTATCGGCAATGTCATTAAAATACATGAATGGAAAACAGACGGAAGTTAGAACGACATTTAGCAGATGTTTCACAGCATTTATGATTTTAAATGTGTGTGAATCTGTTCTTTCTGGTTTGTTTATTTGCTAGAGAAAGCTCTGACAGAGCTTAAAATTTAGTTTAAGTTTTCCCAAATATAAGAAGTGTAGAAAGAAAATCAAGCTGGAACACAGCAAACTGGATTTCAGCAAAATTGGAAATAAAACTCAAACATCCATTGGCCAATAAGAATTTCAGAGATGATTTGTAAAGTTAACTAAAACTAAATCTGATGTTCTGGGTGGTTGCTAAGGCGCTCTGGGTGGTTTCTCGGGTGTTGCATTGCAAGGGTGATCTGGATGGTTGATAGGGCGTTGCTAGGATGTTCTGGGTGGTTGCTACGGTGTTCTGGGTGGTTTCTAGGGTGTTGCATTGCTAGGGTGATCTGGGTGGTTGCTAGAATATTCTGGATGGTTGCCAAGGTGCTCTGGGTGGTGTCTAGTGTGTTGCATTGCTAGGGTTATCTGGATGGTTGCAAGAGTGTTGCTAGGATGTTCTGGGTGGTTGCTAAGGCACTCTGGGTGTTTTTTTTTTTCCGGGCATTGCGTTACTAGGGTGTTCTGGGTGGTTTCTAGGGCGTTGCTATACTGGGGTGTTCTGGGTAGTTTCTAGGGCGTTGCTAGGGTGCTTTAGGGTGGTTCCTTGGGTGTTCTGGGTGGTTGCTATGGTGTTCTGAGTGGTTTCTATGTCTAAGTCAAAATAGTCATATGATTTGAGTTTCTCGCTTATGGTTTGATTTTGGGGTTATGGGATTCTTTAATGTTTTATCGTCCGCTAGGTCAAAATTGTACATCCGACTACTTAGTAACGAGTTACGTTGTAATTCTCAGAGTTAGTGTTTGAACAAACTCCTACCACTAAATATGAGCACTATTAATAGTGAATTATCTAATGAGAAGTACATGCGGACACACAGAGCTCTGTAAGGATATGAGTGAGGTCCATGTCGTGCTGCTCTATGGCGGTCTGAAGCTGCTCTTCCAGGTAATGCAGTCGCTCACTGATGAGTTCACAGCGCTCCGTCAGCTCTGTCGTCTCTCCACACAGATCCTGAGACACAAACACACCCATTAAACCCTGCTGCTCACACACATCTCTAGCTGCTCAAGTGTGGTGCTAATATGCTGATAAAGGTTGTTAGTGCACATACGGCACCAAAATGTGTGCATTTTCATCTGGAAGATGTCATTTTTATCGGCAATGTCATTAAAATACATGAATGGAAAACAGACGGAAGTTAGAACGACATTTAGCAGATGTTTCACAGCATTTATGATTTTAAATGTGTGTGAATCTGTTCTTTCTGGTTTGTTTATTTGCTAGAGAAAGCTCTGACAGAGCTTAAAATTTAGTTTAAGTTTTCCCAAATATAAGAAGTGTAGAAAGAAAATCAAGCTGGAACACAGCAAACTGGATTTCAGCAAAATTGGAAACAAAACTCAAACATCCATTGGCCAATAAGAATTTCAGAGATGATTTGTAAAGTTAACTAAAACTAAATCTATTCAAAAAAAGTTTTCACTAAATTTAAATAAAACTGAAATAAAATAAAATATTAATAAAATAACTTTTGCAACTAAATGAAATAAAATAAGTAAACAAAAAAGCTAAATAGAAATTAAAAAAACTAATAAAAATGATAAAAGCACATAAAATTAAATAATTAAAAATATGAATAAATAGTATATAGTAGTGTGTGTATATATATATATATATATAAAAATAGTATATAAATAATACTAAAATAACACTGATTTCTATGGTTTGTACACAAAAATGAGGGATAAAATAGATTGTGATGCTTTCCAAACTATATTTTACAAGCACCAAGCAAACTAAAACTATTAAAAATCATTTTCATTAATTTAAATAAAGCTGAAATAAATATAATAAAATAACCTTTAAAAAAATCAATCAAATAGAAAGGATGCTTTTGCAACTAACTGCAATAAAATAAGTTGAAGTGCTAAAATTACTAAAACTAATAATTATAGTAATAATAATAATAATAATAAATAAAGGTAAAAAGAAATATTAAAACACTAATAAAAATGACAAAATCACATAAAATTACTAAAACTTAAACTACAATCAAAATGAAGTGAATAATACTAAAATAACACTGATTTGTATGGTTTATGCACAAAATAAGTGATAAAATAGACTGTGATGCTTTTACAAGCATCAAGCAACTAAAACTATTAAAATATTTTTGTTAATTTAAATCTAAAAAAGACAATAATTAGATTAATAAAATTAGATTAATATTAGCTTTAAAAAATATAAATGTTGTCTTTGCAACTAACTGACAAAATAATTTTAAGTACTAAAATAACTAAAACTGTAATTTTAAAAAGCTAAATATTAAAAACTAAATATAAAAAACTAATAAAAATGACAAAAGCACAAAATTAGTAAAACTAACTAAAATTAAAATGAAAACTGGAAGTATAAAAAAGCTAATTCAAAATATTAATAAATACTATAATAGTATATAAATACACAAAAAGTTTGTGCACAAAAATGAGCGATAAAATAGATTGATGATAAAATAGATTGATGCTTTCCAGATGATCTTTAAGAAGCATCTCTGAGACAAGCGTGTGCTAACTGGGTCAGTCACTGAAAACAGTGAAACTATCCATAATCTTAAAGCAGTGAAGTATAAACGGTGACGTTAAACCGTTAGCGACTGTGAGGTCAGACGTGAGCGGGGCTGTCAGCTCCTCTTCTCCTCATCAGAGTCCTGAACCGACAGCGTGTTCCTCCGTGCCGCGCTAATGACTTCACCCAACAGTTTAGAGGCAGCCAGGTAAGTGGGACAGGTCCGCACGGTCGGCTCCGTCCCAATTCAATCAAAGCGTGAGTCACTGTTTTTCTCCGGCGCTCAGAGTCAGAGAGCGTCTTGAGGTGGTCGACTGACTCACGTCCGCCCAGTTCTCTCAGGAACGGCCTCGTGTCGCTTTAATGAGGTCTGCGGTCTATTCTTAGACCCCCCACACCAGCTAATGAAACACCTTTTATAGACGCTAACTTCACACTGCGGGCGAATTAAAACACTTCTGAATGAGGCTGGAGTCTCCAGGGACGCATTCGAGAACAACAGCCGCACCGAACGGCCTGAGCGATACAGTTATTGAGGAGTAATGGAAATCACGCTGGGTGAATGTTTTTAAAGGTCACCGCGATCGCTTTATTGCGTCTAAAAGACTGCATATAGACTGCAAAAATTGTACCTTTGTGATAATCATGAGAGGCATAATACTACAGAAATCCTTCACAAAGGAAAGATCAGTATAATTCTGATCATATCAAATGCACTTAAGAAGAGATTTGCAGGGTATTTAATGTGAGGTTCGGTTGATGGTCCTCTAGCACTGACTATATGAAATTAAGAAATGGAGAAGACAAAGCTGTGTCCTAAAGCATACTAAGTTCCCTACCTAGACAACATCTTACGGCACCATCTGGGTTATTATCATTAACTAGAACTAAAACCAAAACTATTATAGACATTTTTTGTTAAATGTAATGAAGTTAAAATAAAATAAAATATAAATATTAGATGAAAACAAACTAAACGAAATTAGAAAGGTTGCCCTGGCAGCTAACTGAAATAAGATTAAGTTGAAACACTAAAATTGTGAGTTGGAAATAAATAAAAATTAAAACTGAAACTAAACTAAACCTAAATAGTAAAATTTAAATATATATATATATATATATAAATAATAAATTAAACCTAAACAGTAATTTAAAATAATAGTAATAAAAGTATCAAAATCACATAAAATTACCATTACCAAAAAAAAAATGAAAATATAAAAAAAGCTCATTCAAAATATGAATAAAAACTATAATAGTATAATTATGACTATAGTAGAAGCTTAAGAAATGGAGAATATAAAACTACTGAGCTAAAAGCTAAAACCTACTGAGCTCCCTACCTGGAGAACATCTAGACAACAATTAAAACTAAACCTATTAAAAATATTTTTGTTAATTGAAATTAAGCTGAAATAAAATTAAATATAAATAAGTCAATGACAAACATAAACTGATAAACAGGCAAAATACACACTGGAAAAGGAGATCAGAGTGGCAAAGAGGAATTATTCTGAAAAAATAAGGACTCAGTTCACTTCCAGCGACTTGAACACTTAACAATAACTGTGGAACACACACTATTTATTCACTCATACACTTATTTATCTAACACTCATACTCGGTCTACACCTCAAATTTGCACATAATATACAGTATCTGTACATACAAAAACTGTCTATTGTAATATACCTGCACATACAACTGTCAATTTATATATTTTTATTCCTTATTTACTTGTTCTATTTTTTATTATCTGTGTTTTTTGTTCTGTCACTGTCATTCTGTTACACTGTGGAAGCTTCTGTCACGAAAACAAATTCCTCGTATGTGTAAACATACCTGGCAATAAAGCTCATTCTGATAACATAAAAACTGAACTAAAACTGAAAAAAAAATTTTTACCTAAATAATAAAACAAAAAATAATAAATTATAAATTAAACAAAATTACTAAAAACTGAACTACAATGAAAACATAAAAAAGCTCATTCAAAATATTGCTTAAAACTATATTAGTATATAAATAATAATGACTATAGAAGCTTAAAGGAGACATATTATGCCCCTTTTTACGATATATAATATAAGTCTCAGGTGTCCCCAGAATGTGTCTGTGAAGTTTCAGTTCAAAATACCACACAGATTATTATATTATTTTGAAAATGCCTATTTTGAGTGGAAGCAGAAACACGCTGTTTTTCGTGCCTGTCTCTTTAAATGCAAATGAGCTGCTGCTCCCCGCCCCCTTTTCCAGAATAGAGCTGCGCCTTTACTGCTAAAAACATCTGTTTTGGTTTTGATTATCATGTTTATCGCGCTGAAATCATGCGTTTTAAACCATATTAGTTTAAAATTCGGTTTTCTGAGTGCACACATCCGAAGCACACGGACAGAAAGCGGCTGTCACAGCATGCGAGTACTAAACTAAGTTCTCATTCACACACAAGTTTACGTTAAAAACACACATGAGTTACAAAAGCAGTCGGTTATGTCTGTGAAGATAAACAGCTGGGAAATAAATTGCATGCTTGTTTTAGATCTAATAGTGTGTTTATCGTCCCCAAGGTGAACAGGGTAACTTCTTGGAGGAGTTGGATGTGTTACTATCAAACTTTCCTGAAGATGGTATTCCTCTGGTACTGCTCGGTGACTTCAACATCCACCAAGAAAAACCCCAGGCTGCTGACTTCAACACTCTGCTCGCCTCATTTGATCTCAAGCGAGTGTCTACTATGGCTACTCACAAATCAGGTAACCAACTGGACCTCATCGGTCAACTGGGTAACTTCTTGGAGGAGTTGGATGTGTTACTATCAAACTTTCCTGAAGATGGTATTCCTCTGGTACTGCTCGGTGACTTCAACATCCACCAAGAAAAACCCCAGGCTGCTGACTTCAACACACTGCTCGCCTCATTTGATCTCAAGCGAGTGTCTACTATGGCTACTCACAAATCAGGTAACCAACTGGACCTCATCTACACACGCTATTGCTCCACTGACAACACTTTAGTTACTCCACTGCACATCTCTGACCACTTCCTCATCACTTCTAACCTCACACTAACTCCTGACATAGCACACACTCCTCCGCAGGTCACCTTTCTGCGTAACCTACGCTCACTCTCTCCCTATCGCCTATCCTCTATGGTTTCATCCTCACTTCCTTCACCCGCTCAGTTTTCAGCACTGGACACAAACAGTGCTACTGACACTCTCTGCTCCACTCTAAAATCTTGCTTAGACAACTTTTGCCCCCTTTGATCCAGACCAGCACGTACTACCCCTTCTGCCCCCTGGCTGTCCAATGTTCTCCGTGAACATCACTCTAGACTCAGGGCTGCAGAGAGGAAATGGTGCAAATCAAAAAACTTGACGACCTTAGTGTGTATTAGGGCTGTCAAAATGGCTGAAAAACTACATTCGAATTTTGTACTTAAATATTATCAAAATTTGAATTATATTCGAATTTAAAATGCATAATTTCAGTTAGGGTGG